ATTCGGGCAAGAGGCAGTCAAAACAATCTCTATAGTGCTAGGAAATTGGCTATGTTGGTAGTCGGTAGAACAACTCATGACTGTTTATAGCTCTAGGGAAAAAAATGATTATTGGTGCATTTAATTTTGGCATTGAGTTTCAAATTGTGCTTGGATTTTCAGGGCCATATGCCAATGGTCCAGCTTTTAAAAAAGTATGACCTCATGCAGTTTGCAGAAGTTACAAAAGCTGTGAGGTAAGTTTCATTTATGGAATTGCATGCTTGTAATCCTATTTGCAGTAAGACTGCAAACAATATTTGTTTTACAGTGTAGATGACACAAACTACTGAATGTTGCTTTGCTATTATATAAAAAAATCCAGAAGAAAACACAGATTTTTCTCTGTTTCCTCTTACTAGTCCCTTAGTTTCATGCTAGTGTAATGAAATAATGAGAAATGTAATGCAGATTAAACCAGCATTCCCCTTTGCTCAGGAAATAAATGGAGCATCCCAACCATACCCTTGTCTGAGCTGTAACTCTGCCTACTTTGTACTAGTGCCCTGCCCATTGCAGTCCCACCCCTCCCCAAGGGGATCCCAGGATCCAAAAACTTGCCAATCCACTCCCTCAACGTTGGCGTCTCTAGATATTGGTTTAGTGTGATATGTATAAGCAGAAACATCTCAGGTGAAGTCTTGGTTTGTGGATTTTCTCCTTGCCTCTCTTCTCTGAAACCAGGTGGAAGGATAAAGTAAAATTTTGTTTTACTTTGGCTAGACTTCTGATTTCATACAAGCCGGAGTGTTAATTCATTGGTTTAGTCTGGTTTTTGCAAACTGGTTGTTAATTTCTGGGTTGCTGGAGCTGAGTCACCATGCCCTCTCCAGGCAACTGAATGCTATGTCTGTTGTATCTCTTTTCCTTCTTGCAGCAGGATGACTCCTTGCAATGGGAAATTATTGCTTGTATGCAGGGTGGAGTAATGATGCTTTCATTAGATTACAAAAGAGCTTTTGGTGCCCGTATAGTTTAATGTAGGACGAGCGTCAAGTGGGAAGAAGCAATTAGGTTTGGAGATTGGGAGAAGGGAGAAAATGGGAATGGACTAATTATTATCAGAACTGATTGTTGCCTAATTTAGATAATACCTCTGAGTAAACCAGGAATCATGATGGAAAGTCAACATTGAACAGGTCTCCTGGACAGTTAGATCAGAATTCCACATTCTCATGTAATAACATGCCTGGTTAAAGTGAATCAAAGTCTCAGTTGACTGCCTCTTGGCTACATGGGGGAGAGGCTAAGAGACAAATGAGTCACTGAGCCCCTACAAAACTACGTGTTGCTCATCACTCAGTATGTTATTATGCATCCCAAATCATATGTAGATACAGTCACTATGAGTTTCTTGGAACATTCAAAATCTTTATTCTTTTAATTCCTCTAGTGAAGGGAACCTTCTTTTATTAAATGATGCCCTGGCAAAACATGAGACGTTTTTCATTCGCTGCGGGATCTTCCTTATTCTTGAGAAGCTGAAAATCATCACCTACAGAAATCTCTTCAAGAAAGTGTAAGGATATCATTTATTGCTTGATGTGGCTAAGGTGTCATTAACTGTATATGATGTTATAATAGGGAAAAAGCCACATCAACCAGAATTACATTATTTCCTTTCTCTTTACCGGGAGGAATGGATTTTGAAATGGCAGGTTCCCACTTGTTGAACAAACAGCCTCTGGCTTTTAAGCATCTTTCTGAATGGACGTTTCTGCTAGTTAAAATTCTGTATTTTTAATCAGTAGTATGTTTGCCAGAAGCATCTGGAATCTATTGTTTAAAATTTAAGAACCACACTTTCACTTTTCAGAGACCTGCCTGCAAAGTTTATTCTAAATATCTGGCAAGAGAAAAACTGTCCCTACATGCCTAAAAGAGAGAGGTTTCTGAGATGGGAGTTGGAAAGCTGTCTTTCCTGACTGCGCTAACGATACAGACCCAGCCAGGAAAAGTCACATTCAGGGAATAAAGTGAATTGTTTGATTTATATGCATTTTACTTTCTGTTTTGATTAAGCATTTGTAGTTATTGATATAAACAGTTCTTTTTTAAATATTAAAGATGCCGGCTGAGTTATTCTGGAATAGCAGGCATGCTTACTGGGTTGCTTTTAACTCTAATCTGTCAGTAGAATCCCAAGATTCTCTTTCATTCCGCAAATAAAGTAATAATAGGACAGTTTGGTTCCAGGTATTAGGGAATGTAGTATTTGCTTGATCCTTTACCTGTTGGTTTGCAGCAGTCCCATTCAACTCCGAGTCTTAGCTGAAATGAAATTGGGCTGGATCCACCAGACAAAGTCCACATATAATCTTCTCAGAAAAGTAAAATATTTACATGTTTCCATTCATGGAAATATGAGTAGGCAGTGAGAGGATAGATCTGGAGGTTCGGGCATAGCATAGATTGGGATTACTATCAGTGATAGCAACCGTGATGTTTTTTCTTTCTTTCCTTCAGATATTTGTTACTTAAAACTCACCAGCTGGCTCTAGATGCTTTTCTGGTTGCTCTGAAATTCATGAAAGTCACTGATGTTGATATTGATGAAGTCCAGTGCATTTTGGCTAATCTCATTTACATGGTAAGTGTTGGCATTCTTAGTATGGCATGGATAAAAACAACATTTGCTGTGGGCTTGCTGTACTATAAAATTAATGTCTCTGGACCCCACTTATATACAATGAATGTATTCTGTGTATTCATAAGCACGAAAGGACAAATGATTGCTCAGTAGGACAATGGAATTGGACGAGTTTCTTTTTCTCCAATACATATTTCTCCAACTTTGTATAACAGTGGGTAACAATCACTAGGGTATGGTCAGAGGAACATTGCTGGCTCTAGGTGTGTGAGGGTGAGACAACATCAGCCTTTTTCAGCCTTGTGCCTTTGGGCTTCACTGAGGCAACAGATCCCAAAATTCCCAGCCAGCTTAATCAATGGCCATGCTGGCAAAGAACTCAGTAATTTGTGGTCTCAGTATATCTGGAAGGCAAGAGATTGAAGGAAAATAGACATACAGGATATCGGCAACTGTGCCACTTAAAATGATGTACAACACAACGTTGATTCGAGAAAAGGAATTCCTTTATGTCCCAACATAGCTGTTTGATACCTTTTAGTGCAGCCTTTTCCAGTCTGGTGCCTTCCAACCTGTGCTGGATGTTAACTCCCCAGATTCTTATCTAGCATGGTGAAAGATCATCCTGATTGGGAATTCTGGGATTTCACTTTATAAATACACATATTCATATTTTGGTAATCTGGAGGATACCAAGTTGATTTAGAACAGTGATTCTTAAATTGGGGGTAATTTGGGCATATCTTGGGGGTAATGGAGCAATTTGTAATTTTTTGTGAGTTGATGATCCACTTTGGGACTGCCTCTGCCGAAACACTTGTGCTAAAATAGAGAGTCTGGTGTTTTTGTTTTTTGTTTTGGTGGGGATAATGACATTATTCAAGACCAGGAAAAGGGGTAAGGGGCCACCGATTCAGAATATGTAGTCTCAACACTATTTTGTTTGCGGTGACTTTGTTTCCTGCTTGAATGTTGATGCAAAACAGATTCTCTTACTTTACCTGCTCTCATTCACTTTAACGCACATTAGCCCTCTGTCCTGTACATGCCTTCTTCACAATTATCCAGTGCCTAAATCAGACAACCTCACGCAACAGTAGGGCCCTGTGAATAATATTGCTCTGATCTATAACTAATATTTCCAAAACCGCACACACTGAAGCAATGTACGTGGTTAAATAAATATTGAAACCTAACAGATATATGTAAATTATTTTAGATTTACAAGGCTGTTGCCTGTGGGCTTTTTTTCCCCATACACCAGGGTCATATTAAGGGCTATATATCACATCAGCATCAGAAGCTTGTTGTCAGCAAGCAAAATCCTTTCCCTCCACTTTCTACTGTCTGCTGAATTGAGGTGGAAGAATGTTGCTCATGGACGGGGATCATAGTTGGAGGAGCCCTCTTCAAAGGGTGGAACAGTTTTTGCATTTAGGACAAATCGATGGAGAACAAATAGGGACACGTTGAAGAGATTACTGCAGCACAGAAGAGAACAAATGATTCTATCACTTTCTTCCACTCGAAATGATCGTGATTCCCTCTTTGTTGTCTTCAGTACCGCCTTCTGGAAGGCAATTTTCTCCAACCCTGTGGAGCAGTTTTCAGGGTAGGTACAGAATGAACTCTGTATTACACCGGCAGAAATGTGTTACTGGTTCAGAAGTTTTCTGTGGATTCTGATCCAATCCAGTTATTCTTGGTAAAAATCTAAAATTGAATAAACCACATTATGTTCTGTTGATGACCTCTGGTGAATTCTCTGCTCATGAAGTTAACATAATTGATGTTTTACCTTTAATGTTGCTACAATATTTTAAAAATAAATGTAATAACTTCATGTGTTATCTTTCAGTGTTTAATTTAATATATATGTAGGAAATGAAAAATAATAGTAAGAACAAAAACCCATTTTATAAAGGGGTTTTAAATTTTTATTTTTTAATTGTAAATTTAGTGAGGCTGGCTGTTCTGTTATCAGTTCAGTTTCAGCATCTATAAGCCAATGTAGGGCTCCTGTTCAGCATGTCTTTAAGTAATTATCTGCAGGACTCACACAATGAATTTAGTTTACAGTGATCTAATTTGTAAAATTTTTATGTCGTTGTGTTAGGTTTTCTTCTTTGTATTTCTTCATGTTTACATATTAGAAACAGTGATCACAGAAATTATTCCCCTGAAGAGGATACAAAAGTAAACACACACAACTGTGAAAAGATAGTAAGATTTAATATCTAATCTTGCAGTCAATGAAATTGGTACTTTGATTATTGATTTATACTGGGGACAAGCACTGGCTCTATTTCTGTTTTATGAAATCTCTCCACACAGGCAAATGAATGCTTTGTTCATAGAAAGAGTACAGTACTGGAAGAAGGAAAAAAGTTTTATTTTCATTGATAAGCATACATAATATTTATGGCAGTGGTTCAGACCTGAATACATTACACACTGGCTCCTCATTTTATATAGTTTTTTGTCTTTATATTTTAATTATCCCATTATTTGTTTAAACCACATCATGTATCTTGAGGTCTTGGTAAATACAAATGTTTCCCAGTTAATTGTTTCTGTTGCCCATGGTTCTAAAACCCCGGTCAGAAACCATGTGCCTTTATAGGGAACAGCATTAAAACTTCCTCCCGCAAGCATTTCCCTTGCTTGCCCTTGACTGGAACCACAGAATTCCCTTGTTATCAGATTTCTGTTGAGAATTTGCTTGCAGTCACTCTCATTGAGGTATAAAACCGACCTCTCCACTGGGGAGGGTGTCAGGTGATTTCCATTTGCGTTCCAGCCACTGAGAATACCTTCCATTTCTGAGATCAAAACATGCTCTGCAAAATCCCTTTCTGGAACGCATATGGGCAAATGGTTACTGTCGCAGTCAATTTGGCTGTTAAGCTCAAGCAAAGCCACGTTGTTCTCGCCAGTGGTGCTGTCATAGCGGGTGTATATATTTGATTCTTTCACTGGTATTACTTGAACTGGTCTTTGTGACTTGTTGATGCCTGTGCAGGTAAAAATGTACTCATTGGTCATTGCAATCGCTTGTTTCAACTGGGATTCTATTAGACATGTAGTTTAAACAAATAAACAAAAAATGCCATCTTGCTAATGCCACTTAAATTGCTAATGTTATGCAATAGAGGAAAGGATTACAGAGAGGAAGCAGTTTCTTGAAAACCCTTAAATACAGGTAGTCCCCAGTTTAAGAGCAAGTTCCGTTCCCGAGGTCTGTCCTTAAGTTGAATTTGTATGTAAGCCAGAACAGTATTGTATAATACTGTATAGGTAGTATTGTGTAATGAGCTCAAACCGTTGTGTATTTAACTTGGAGTTTGCTACGGTAGGCTCTGTTCTTAACTATGGGTTGTCCATAAACCAGGCATTCTTAATCCAGGGGACTACCTGTACATCAAACTGAAGTTATGTGCAAAATTGCTTTGAATTATGCATCTCTTTTGGGATCTATGGGGTCTGTTCAAGAATGATCATTGTTCAGTGGAACAAATGTATTCCTTTTGCTCCAAAGAATAGACAATCTCCTGGAGATTGTAGTAGTGGAAAGGAAATACATGTTGACTGCAGCCCTATTTAATGAGGGCTGAAATAAGAAATATTAATAATGTATATAACCAAGACTGGTCCTATCAATATAGTGGGGCGAAACCACTCATTTCATATAGCATCATGGCAGGAGGGGAACACCAAATGAGGAAATGCAGGGGCAGAAATTTGTGTCAGAAGAGTCTTGCAATATGATTTGGCTTTAGCATGAGGTGGCACAAATTTCACACAGCAGAATATCTGGGCCGGCAACCTTTGTCACACTTAGAAGGATCTTGTGGCTTGGGGTGGTGGGTGGATGTGACCACAGCAGTGTCTGCAAAAATACCTATAATCGGATGGCTGCAAACACATCCTAACCCATCATTTCTTGTACAATGCCATTTCTATGAAAGGAATTTTTATATAGGGAATAACAAGGAATATATCCATAATCACACTAGATCAGGGCTTGACAATCTATCCACATCATTTGACCTTCAGTGATCCTAGGAAGGAGTAAATAAATGAAATGGCCACAGATCACCAACTCTGGTGAGATTTTAACACTCTTCCACTCAGTTTTATAAGATCTCATGTGAGAACACAGAAATCTCAGTTATCTTGTGACATTTCAGTTATTAATATTTTATTTTTAAAAAATAGTTTCTGGGCAGTATTTAGCATCACTGCATTAAATGTACTGCATGATGAGTGTATGTACTGGGGAAATGCAACTTTATTGTTCCCTAATGTTTCCTTGCTCTTCTCCAGTTCTTGCCTAAAATAAAAGGTTAAAAACTTCCTTGAGTCAAGCTTAGTTCGTGATGAATGGATGCACTATGTATTTTTCTTGGCAAGAATGGAGAAGTACTTTGTCATAACTATCTTCCACAATGTTCTTAGGACTTTCTCGAGTAGCCTGCAGCCCAGGGATTTCCTTATGAAGTCTCCCATCCAAATATTAATTATGGCTGACCCTGATTAACTTTTGAGATCAGGCAAAGTTGGCTAGGCATTGCCAGTTAAGGTGAGAACAGTCTGTTCACTTCCCTGAAAATCAGGGTGTCTGTCTGTCTGTCTGTCTGTCTGTCTGTCTGTCTGTCTGTCTGTCTGTCTATCTATCTATCTATCTATCTATCTATCTATCTATCTATCTATCTATCTATCTATCTACCTACCTACCTACCTACCTACCTACCTATCAATCATCTATCAAAACAGTAGCATGGCAAGGTTGCAGGATGAGCATTCTGGGCCTACTAGTACTTTCATTTGCTGTCTTTGAGCCAATCCCAATACTGCTTTGCTTTGAAAATCCCAATACTGAGAGAAGCAGTCATTGGTTACTTACCAATCACAGCACTAATAGGAGACAGCTTGGCGCATTCAGCTGTAGTCAATATAAAGTTAGTTTTCAGGAGAACACCTCCACAGATCCATTTTCCTTCTGAGTTTAACAGCAAGGCCTTAAACAAAGCAAACCAGAGTTTTCCTTGCTCTTTACATCCACCAGACAAGATATGTTGCTATTCTACTCCCCACTGCTGCTGATAGTATAGGTTAATGAAACATTGCTTTATAAGGAAAGGTAGGTACTAGCAAGTGTAATCACTGCCTTTGTGAACTGGATAGTTGATAAGTCGGTTGACATAGAAGGAAAGCTGTGCAGCTCACAGAAGCTCAGACCTTTTAATAAAATTTGTTAGCTGGAAAAGGTGCTACCAGACTCCTGATTTTAAACCAATGTTTGGGTTATGCTTCAAAATGAATAAAGATATACTGGTAGTCCTTGCTTAGTGACTGCCTCATACAGTGACCATTCACAACAGTGATGAAAAAGTAACTTTGTGACTAGTCTTCACATTTACCACCTTTGTACGTCTGCAAAGCAAAGGAAAGCTGAAGTCAAATCATAAGCACAGTTGCGGTTTCACTTAGCAACCGCTTCATTTAAAAACTGAGTTGCTGGTCCCAATTGTGATCACTAAACAAGGACTACCTGTAACACTGAGTTATCATGGCCAGATGGGGTTTAGCAAGGAATATAGGGCAGAAAATCCAGATTAAGGTACCAGCAGAATTTATGAAAAGCACAAATGGATAGTAAGAGGAAGGATTTCCCTGCTTTTATTCTCTTTAAAAAAATGTTATTTGCCCTTGTTTAGGCAGAATTCCAAAAATAATACACAGAATTGCATGTTCTCTCTCTGATGCCACAAAGTTTTAAACAGTGCACATTATACTTGATCTTTCCTAAAAGGCCAAAATTAGCTCCCTAACATGGAGCTACAGAATGCTCATCACCACGAACACCTGGAAGTCTGTGAGTTATGTGAGCATGTTAACCCTTCCCAGCCTAAGGGAAGAATTCTTTAGAGCTAGACATAAGATAAAACATAACACCTATACATGAAAGGTTATGTCCATGTGATTCTGGGGATAAAGAAACTGTCAAGTATGTCCTTCTTTATTGCAACTATTATAGAGACTTCTGAAAGTACTACATAGCACCAGTCCTCCATCCATTTCCAGGCAAAACAGTTGAGCTTTGTACTAAACTATTATTATCAGATACTAACCAAGATAAAACAAGGAGAGCTACCACCTATTGCTGGGCAGCAGTGAAGACACAACATCAGCTGACCCCTTCAACTAATTTTAATTTTGTTCTGTAATTTATATTTTAAATTTTATGGTTTTGATCTATGATTGTGATTTGGGTTTGGGTTTGACCACCTGCAGTGCCTTTCAGGGTGCATCTGCAGCACTGCAAATCTCCATTTGAGATCCTACAGCCAGACCAATTCAAGAGCTCCACATCTCTCTAAGTACCTGCCAGGGGAATTCTCTGTAAGTCTTGTCACTTGCACTGAGTTGAAATGAAAGATGATCCTGAAGTCTTCCACATGCACATCCACCTAGCAATGTATTATAAGGGAAAACCCATGTCATCATTTTTAATAGGTAGCTTTCAAAAGCAACTCTTTTTGTTAATTGGGTTAAGATAAACATTTTTTAAACATGAAGTTGGGTCCTTGGTTGATAGAAAAAGCATACCTTGACTTATTTTGCTGTCATTTGCCATCTGTAGATTGTAACATTTTGGACTTAGGGTTTTTCCCTCGTAACTGGTATTCAGCTAGGGGAGGAGGCAAAACCCCCCTGGGCTTTATTGCTATAAAATGTGTGTTCTTGTTTTCTGATAGTTGATTTTTCTAATACCTGCAGATATTCTGGAACAAAGCTGCAGTAGGACAAAAGCTGTTAATTATTCCTGGTGAGGGGAGACCCAACCTCCACTAAAGGGGGAGTGGTAGGTTTAGAATGGGCTGTGTTTTCCACAGATTATTAGTCAAGAGATTATTGCAATATCTAATCTTCTCCCAGTGCTTAATGCAGCCTCAGCTATTGACAAAGGAACCAGAGATAATTTCAGCTCGTTTGTTTGTTTATACAATATTGACACCCCCCCCAAGTTACCTTCAAAAACTCTGTTTTTAAACAAATTCTACGTACCTTGTGGAATGCATGATTTACTGTCTTCCCCCAATTCATAGCCTTTGGCACACGAGCAGCGGTAAGAGTTGAGTTCTGGATAGCAGAAATGCTGACACCCTTCGTGGATTTCATGGCGGCACTCATTTTTAGCTATAGAAAATAAAATGCCACTTTTAGAGGACAAACATGAAATGGGAAGTAAAAAATGAAATTATTCTGCAAAAAATCAACAAGGAATTCCTTTCTGTAGTATTGGTCCTTTTTTTTCTGATAGCTGTTAATTTTTTTTTTTTTTCAGTTTATCTATGGGAACACTATTTGCCAGACCCTGTTTCTGTGAGCTGTGCAGATTATCTGTAGCTCCCATAATTTGTGGCAACTTTTTTGGAATCAAAGGCAGCAGCTGTGCTCCAGAGAACACTGGGTGAGCAGCACCCAGATTTAGTCATAGAGAAGACTCACTGAAATCATTATCGAAAGTCCCATTGTTATTTGCAACCCTTCTCTGACCGCAGTATGACTAACACTGGAATAACTCACATGCATAGAGTCAGCTTTAATGTTTGGTAACAGATTTGAGTAACTAAGAGTGGAAAAAGCTCCACAATGGGCTGAAATGGATGGATTGTATCTAGTGATGATCATTCATGGCAAAATGAATTTGTATCTGCAGCCAAAACATTCCACACTGCTGTAATTTTCAATGCACTGATTAAGCAGAACTTCAGTTCATTTATGAATAAGGTACAGGGACAACAGTGTATTTTTCTATGAAGTGTGGCATGATACAGTGATATCACTGGATGGGCTGTGAGTCATTCTTTTTTAACCATTTTTCCTTTTCACTTTTTACTACCCCCATAAAGTAGATGGCCTATTGAGGACTTACTGTACTTTTCATTTTGCAAATGCATTCACACATACACCCACCCATGGATAATTTTATGACTCTTATTCTGTGGTTTGACTTCAGTGAGACAATGTTGGAAGGGAAAAGTTCTGTAGTCCAAAAAGAAAAAGGGAAGGGGGCAGGGAGGAGAAGTGTGAGTTGTTCAACCACGGCAAGAGATTTGGGCAGAAGAAGAGAAAGTACCATTTATGTTAAGCATTCTTGTCTTTGTTGTCACTAAAACAATGTGGCAGCAAGCTTTTTTCTACTGAAAATCTATTTGCGGGGGGGGGGGTGTTGAAAGATGTTTTGTCCTGAAATGCTGAAGCGGAATTGGACAAAATCAGTTCCCCGCTCCTTATCTGGTGAGCCTCCAATGGATCTCAGCTCCTTCTTTTGCAGAAGAGCTCTTCTAGAACCAGACAAATATTTCTATTTGGAAAACAGAAGGGTTTAAAGAGAAAAATGTCCACTGTCACCATATGTTACTTATGAATTCCTTTATGGTACCTATTATTGGAAGAGAGCAAACTAAATTATGTACTGCATCTGGACTATTCTGTTGAACTATTACTAATCTCCCATGTTTTCAAGAAGTAATATAACACATGCTGGTTCATAAAGAAAAACTAATGTTTACCAAAAGCGCAGTTTATTCCTTCGAAGTCATCTCTACAGTCACACGTGTAGCTGCGAATTGTGTCCCTGCATGCACCATTATGAAGGCAGGGGTTGGAAGAACACTGCATACCACCTGAAGAAAAACAAAACTGCTACATACATTTAGAGTTTTCTAACAAGGGAGCTTATATTTTGTTCCTCTTCACATGTTCATCTGTTTACCTGTAAGATACTAAAGCAACTTTTCCATAAGAATTTCCTAGGCTCAATTTAGATTTTTGAATTCCTTTCTTCTATGTATGATCCTTCCTCTTCACCAACCTGACACTCTGTAGAAGAGTTGGGGCCACCATTCTGAAAATGCCAACTAGCAGGGCCAGCTGTAGTCCCAACACATATGGATGATTCTGCATTTGGGGAGATTGATCAATTATGTGATCAAAACATCATATAAGAACAGGATTTGTATCAGTAGTGAGTTACTGATCTTCCTTCCATTCATCTTTCCTTGGCATCCAAGATAAAAAATATGGAAATTAGTGTGTTGCAAAGCCAAGCACCACCTTGAAGTGCCATTTATACTGTATTTCCAACATCGGCACCATAAATAAAATGGTGATGGCAACAGAATCTTTTATTTGCTTTCGTATATGATTGGCTTTTCCCATCATGGTTTCCTGTCATGATGGTCACTGAATGCCACTAGTCCTAAGAGACTGAGGGCTCCTGGTGTGGCTGCAGCACATCCCCAAAATACTCTATGAAAAAGCACCATCAATAGACGTGCAACAGGGATCAGGTCTCATATATTCTGAAAAGAAACCAACAGCCTCAGGCAAAGGGGATAGGTGGGTGGGAATCAACCATATCTAAAAAAGAATAATTCTTTCACAACTCAAGCAGATCAAATTCTGCTTGCAATATTTCTTGTTCTTTAGTTTTTATATCAGGTATAAGCAACTTTTCTTAATGGGGGGGAACCACTTTTTTTAAAAAACTCATCTAAGAGCTTCAAGAAGTGATGATATAGTAATGTCACTTGGAGAGTAGGACTGAAAAAGGTTTTTTCTACTGTTTTCTGATACTGTTTAGAAATGAAATAAGTGTAAGCCTGGTAGAAGCTGTAATATAGCCCAGTGTGTCTCAACCTTGGCAACTTGAAGATGTATGGACTTCAATTTCCAGAAGTGGCTGGGGAATTCTGGAAGTTGAAGTCCACACATCTTCAAGCCGCCAAGGTTGAGAAACACTGATATAGCCACTTTACATGTTTGCTTGTTTCTTTATAAAAGCCTTAACTTATGCTCTTCACTCTTTTTGCATTTTACTGTAATAATTTGGTAGTGTGATCTAAAGTAACTATTGTATTGGCTGCAAAAATGAGGCTGAGAACTCTCTTCAGCCTACAGACCACAATTTGACCCTCTGTTTTATTCAAAGATAATCTCACCCTGCCAACCTGTGGAATGCTTCCAAGCCTAGCTAGATAAATTATTTTTATTATGATTAATTTTAGTAAATGTGTATTTTTAGTAAATTCACTTGTTTAGCCAACAATAAAATCACCCTGAGTTTCCCTTGTGAAGGAAATTCAACATATTTTTTTAAAAAAACAAATGGATAAATAAGATTATTTTGAAATGCTTCTCAGCTGATCTGAAATTATTGTTCTGGTAAGGCCTCTGAAAAAGCTTATTATTTTTCTAAAGAAAGATTTAAAAACTAGTTTTTCTGGAAAAATTAAAGCAGGCAAAACAAGAAATGAAGATCATGTATTCCTAGGGATAGATTTGTTATGGAACTAAAGAAAACAAACTGAGTCCAGGACAAGCAGACCCATTTAAAGGGTGGTTAACTGGAGAGGGTGATTTATGAAAAGTTTAAAAAAGAATCTTCAAACAATATGTAAAGACATCACTTTTCTTTTTAAAAGAAAATACTGCTTTATGACATTTCTATGTTTGTTTATTACTGCTGCAAGACTAGCCTGGAATTGTTTGAAAACTCTTTCATATGATTTAAAGCGATGAGCCTGGATTAATAGCTCTGACCAGAATTGCTTCCTCCCTCCCTCCCTCCCTCCCTCCCAAAGAAGGCTAAGAATAAACAAGCTAAGTTTGCATTAATGGCAGCATCTTCTGTAGGGTGTCCTTTAGAATAGCAAATTATACCAGTACCACTGGTGATTTAAAAGTTAATATAAACACTGAGAATTCTTCAGTTAAGCAATACTTCTTAATTTCTTCTGAAATACTTACCAAAATAGACGCTCCAAAATTCATTCTGGAAAAAAGAAATATAAATGTTTTCTTGGGCAATTACAGACACACAAAACTGACTGATTGTCACCCGCTGGGGGAGATAGGCGGCATACAGATTTAATAAATAAATACATTACAAGGGACATCAGGCAGCTGCCCAACACTGCAATGTAAAGTTTACTGCTGCCTAGCATTTGGTCAACATCTTTGAACTCACTGAGACTCATTCCTAAGTAGACATAGACATGGTTATTTTGTTGTGGTTCAGTTGTTAAGTCGTGTCTGACTTCGTGACCCCATGAACCATATCATGCCAGGCCTTCCTGTCCTTCACTGCCTCCCTGAGTTTGCTCAGTTTCATGCTCATTGCTTCAGTGATGCTATCTAACCATCTCATCCTCTGCCGTCCTCTTCTCCTTTTGCCTTCAAGACATGGTTATGCCATTCCTTTTTTCGGTAGGGATAGGCTGCAGCAAATCAGGGTAATGTTGTTGCCCCCCGTACATATTCTGGGATGCTCTGCAGAACGCTCTACTGCCTCGCTGGCTTTGGGGTCTTCCCCACAGCCAGCGTGAAGTGCTATCCGTCACTCCCTGAGCTGACTGAAAAGTACATCAGCATAAAATATGCTACTTCCACAGGCACAGGACTGGCCACTGGTGCTGCATGTTAAGGACAGGGATTGAGGGATTCCTCCAGGTTTTTATCCCCTCCCACCCACCAACCACTCACTCACTCACTCACTCACTCACTCACTCAACATCCACAGCCATTCCTTTTTATGTG